GACACAGGGCTATCTCATCAGGTGCTGGAGCCAGGGACTGGATGCCAGCTTACCTCCTTCTTGCCCCTCTGGTCTTCTTTTTTCTCTGTTGTTGGAAACAGATGTTTGATGCCACAAAGAAAAATTAGCACAGAGACAAAAGATCTTTCAGCAACACAACTTTTACTTCCTGGACTGCAGGAAGGTACCCTTGCTAGCCATCTTGTCATGAGAGTACAATGAACAAAGGAAAACAGACATATTTATCCATTATACATGTGGGGTCGTCCTTACTGCTGTATCTGATCTCTGTTGGCTGGAGCCAGACCTCACAATGTAAACTAAAACCCGATTGGCTAACAACTTAAAACTTTTCTAAACAGGTAAAAACAGTGGAGAGCTGGGACATGCCTGTGAGCACATCCAGCACAGATATCTTGGTTAAAGCACAAGGACATAGAATGTGCTATGTGCCTGTAAGCGCGGCGTGTCTCACAGCTACAGAGGATAGGGCTTCACAAAGAGTTTATTAGCATACTTATGATTCATTCTTTAACAAGAAAGGACACTTTAAAGAGGAACTGTGCACCATTCATTCATTCATTGATTCTCTCTGTCCCTCTTGCTTTCAGTCTTGACTTTGGCTGTCTACCTTGTAGAAACATGGTGGCCCCATAACTTTCAAACAAACCCGTTCATCCAGCTCCCCAGCAGAGGCCCCCTCCCTCATTCTCTCGCAGTCTGCTCATTTTCTTCCGATTCCACATCCCTGGAGAAGTCGTTCTGCTGCTGAGTCTTGTTTCTTTCGCTTTATGCTGGTTTCATTGCATTACACAACCCTCATGCCCACGAAGTGGCTGCTGCAGCTCCCGCTCTTACATTTTCTTAGCTTCTGATCTGGTGGAAAGCAGGGATTCATGCCACTGATAACTGCACTGATATCCTGGGCCTGACTTTCATTGGCTGGGACTGGGTCCCAGGTAGCCTCTGAATCAATCACAGTGGCCAGGAGTGGGATATGCGAATTGGCTTGGACGAGTCAGGGCCCTCTTGTGGATCTGAGGATGGAGTTGAACATACCCAGACCATACAGGCAGAAGGGCAAGAGGGCGACTCCTCAAAGGAACTTTGGGAGCCCGTGTTACTGTGAGTGGAATGTATGGAAAATTAAAAGCCACACCCACAGTCTCATTACTGATTTCTACTAGTGAAGTGTGTGAGGTCTAAGGAGGTCAAGGCGTTGCCCGGGGTTGCCCAGCTGGCTAGATCACAGCCGCCAGGAGCAGAGAGCCTGCCCTGGGCAGAGGTGGGGGGTGAGCCCTGTTGCCAAGGCTGAGTCTGCTCTGTGTAAGAAAGGCTGTGCCAGAAAGCGCCCCTCCCAGCAAGGAACCTTCCTGATTGGAATGTATTTCTACTTCCCATGTCCTTTTTCAGAGATGTGGGTGAGCATAGGGGAGATTTTTGGCCCCTGGTCTATATATCAGGAAGGACACAGGCCAGGCATCAGCGACTCTCCTCAGAAGAGCTGCTCCCTCCCCAGTCCTCTGCAGAGAAGGGAGTGTGTGGAGCACCCTGGGGAAGCAGCTTCACCTCTCTGAGGCTCATCTTCTTCCTCTATGAAAAGGGCTAACAGTGGCACAGATGGCACAGAGTTGTTACAAAATGTGAAGAATGGAATGCTTGGCCCAGTGCCTGGCACATAGCATGTGCTCAACAAACGTCATGACTGGAATGAATTAAGGAGGTTTGAAGTTTCATTAGTTCATCAGTTAGCAGGGCTTCCTATATCCTTGACACCATTTGGTGCTGGGCAGTGGTCTGGTCAGTATTTAACAGCCAGCACTGGGTTGGGGGCAGGGGCCTTATTTGTAGCCTTTGACATTTCTGTGGTGTAAACATTCCTACCGTGGCCAATTTTGTTACCAACATGAGATCACTGACTGTGTACTTGGGAAGAGATGGACAAACTCACCTCTGCTGAGTCTTGGAGGCAATTCCCTCCCACCTGCCACTGTCTGGGGTCCAAAGTCAGTAAGACACTGCCCCTTTCCTTGAAGAACTTCACAACTTACTGGGGACATAGACACGTGGGCAGGCCGTTAGAATGTGTGGGGGTTAGTGCAGTGACAGAGTTCTCCATCCAGGACGTTGGAGTGTGGGAAGTAGCATCAGCCTGGCCTAGGAGGATCCGGCAGGGCTTCCTGTGCGCTGGCACGTGGGGCTGAGGCTCTGAGGGAACCCTGGAGTTATTCAGGTGGAGGTGGGCGAGGGCATGGTGGGGCCTGGGCACAGGATAAGGTGAGTACATGTGTGAGGGAGGCCCTCAAAGATGCTGGGGGATGAAGAGAGTTCAAGGAAGCGAGTGCGGCAGGCGGAGGAGGGGCGGGCCCTGAGGGTGGTCGGGGCTTTGCAGAGGCCAGGGTGTTGGTCAGGGTTGTGTGCCAGTCTGTGTCCTAAGCTGCAGGATGCCCTGGCCATCATTCTGTGTCCTTTTTCCTTCAGACAGTTCCCAGCGCACTGCTCGTCCAACTGATTCAGGAACGCCTGGCTAAAGAGGATTGCGTCAAGCGGGTAAGACTCCAGTGAGCTGGAGTTTTTGGTGCCGAGATAAAGGGGAGGGTGAAGGGCGTGTGTTCATCTCCAAGACCAGAGATGACCAGAGGCATAGGAGAAGGTAAGGCCGGCAAACAGGAGCTCCACGAAGGCCAGTCTGCAGACATAGATTTCCCTTTTGTCAAAGGAAAAGGAACAGTGTGGAATTCATTGTATCGGTCAGGGTTCCCATAGGAAAGAGCTGGCCCACCCAGAGGGGTCACAGGAAAGCATTTAATGACGGGACCATCGCAGAAGCATGAGAGGGTTAAGGCAACCAACAAGTGATGGTGAGGTGCCAGGGACTGGCAGCGGCAGGAGGCAGAATTAGGGGTGCCCCAGACTCTCTCACCTCCCATCCTTTGACCTCCTGTCAGACCCAGGGAAGCCAAATGGCAGGAGTCCGGGTGAGCAGTCCACTGAGGTCAGTCTCCTGGGGCACGAGGAGGGTGGAGAGGGCAGGGGAGGGCTCAAGAGGATAGCAGCATAGCACCCGTCTACTGGGCACTGATGGGCGCTGCACACCGACTCATGTGTCCTCACAGGAGCCCTGTTGGGTAGTGCCATTACTCTCCTTTTTTATTTTATTTTATGTATGTATGTATGTATGAATGAATGAATGAATGAATGAATGTATGTTTGAGACAGGCCTCGCTCTGTCACCCAGGTTGGAGTGCAGCGGCATGATCACAGCTCACTGTAGCCTCAACCTCCCAGGCTCAAGTGATCCTCCTGACTCAACCTCCTGAGTCACTGGGACTACAGGCACACCTCACCACACCCGGTTAATTTTTGTACTTTTTGTAGAGATAGGGTTTCTGTTGCCCAGGCTGGTATCAAACTCCTAGGCTACTATATTTATTCTGAATTAGGGTTCTGTGTTAACAGTTTTTTCTTTGAGCACTTGACAAATGTGTCACTTAATGTTTTTTCTTTTTTTGTAATTTTTAAGGGGCCATGCTAATATGCTCTGTGTCATTCTAATTTTAGTATACGTGCTTGCCAAAGCTAGCACTCC